TTAAGGTTTCGTGACAAGTGAGGATCAATGATCCAAAGACCAATAACACCAGCAGATGAATGAAGCCACACTGAGACATCGGACACAAAGCCGCTTTCTCTCTCTGTCTGTGTATTTAAGTGTCCCTCTCTTATTTTCCACTCTTACTCCACCCATAACATGGCCGTTTTCAATAGAGATGAGAGCCAGCATGTATCTACACAACTATGAATAAACCTTTTCTTAATGCCAAACAGGTGGTGTGTGTGTGTGTGTGTGTGTGTGTGTGTGTGTGTGAGTGTGTGTGTGTGTGTGTGTGTGTGTGTATGTGTGTGTTCTTCCTGCTTGCCAATAACTAGGTGTGGAGAGAAAGAGATGAGAGCATAGCAGATGTTCTGATAGCTCAGTCATTTAAAACATGAACAAAACTGGCAGCTCTCAGTTCACATCCAATAGTCGGGGGTTACAAGACCTAAATTACATGTTGCCTCCACAGTTAGCGTGTATAATCAGAATGAGTCCTGCAATAATATTCTGGCTTTTGTCTCTGTTTTTGCACCGAGGGCTTGCTGCAATAATGAGATGCTGAACTACATCATTGTGTGCCACCTAAGAACCCTGTATCTGTAATTTTGGATTTCCTCATTGTAATTGGGTGCTGAGATTGTCTCTTCCATGTGTGGAAATTGTTTTACAGTCCTGAAGGCAGGTCACTGCTCTTCATTTTAAATATGAAAACAATACTGGGGAAGTAATGGAAAAGCAATTTGTTTGTGAGTTTGTTAAAGCTGATGTTTTGAGGACATGAGGTTTGTGATTGGCATTGTATCAGATTGGCTTTGTCTCTACTTTTGAACAAGATGCAAAGCAACACAACATGCTGACTACGCACACAATACTGTACACAATACTTTTGGAAACTGTGAATGAGAGGACAAGGATGCTTTCATTCTTATTTTTAATAAATAAAGTATGACAGTAGATTGGCCATTTGGAATGCTAAATATGGGAGTAAATTAAATAATGTCAAACATTTGTCACGGGTCCAGGTTTGTTATTTATGTCAGGGAACAGAGGGTTGAGACCAACTACTGAACAATGGAAAGGCCATTCCGACTGCCGCATCCACTGCAGGTTGGTCCATGTGTGTGCGTGTGTGTGTGTGTTTGCGAGTGTGTCAGTGAACATGTGATAGCCTTACACTGCTGATGTCTTTTTTATTTATTCATCAATTCATTTATTCACTACTTTACTTCCTGAGCAGCACCGACACAGGTGGGGTTGTGGCTCGAGGCGTATGCTGTAGCTCTGGGGAAACAAAGGCTGCGATATTGTAACCCTAGTTCTATGAGCACTGGCCGAGCCCTACAGGACTCTTCAGTGGGCAGTGATTGGAGGGCGGAGCATGTGTGAGTTAGAACGAGGGAACTTCTACAATTCTGATTTTTAAAGGGAGGAAGGGTAATCCTTTTTAAGGTGGGGTAATCTCGTGGATGTCATGCTTGGTGCTTCAATTATGAATGCTACCTTTTTGGAGAAACAGAGTATTAGATAGAGAAAGGAAGACAACCTCGTAGGATTTCTCCTCATAGAACGGACATGGAAAAGTGCTGTTGGGCCTTTTCCTGTATGACTTTATATCTTACTTCCTATCTGTAGCCCTGTGTGTGTTTACGACTGTGTGTCTGAATTTATGGGAGAGGGCAACTAGAGTTGAATGCGTGTCCGCTCGTGACTTATGTGTAAACAGCTGTGTTCAGTGGACTGAAGCCGATGCACTCTGTTGAATATTTAAACACTTGTAAGCACACACAAACACACGAAGCGAGAAGAGAAACAAAGTCTATTTTGTCATGAGTCAGATGTGTTTTTCTGTTTTGTCGTTTTCATTTTACAGCACACAATGATTGTGACTACACGGCGGGTGAGATCATGTGTTGTTCAGTGTTATTATCCTAAAATCACTTAGCGTGGAGACAATTAAAAACCAGACAAAGTGAACTTCCACAAAATCTACTTGCCCTAAGCCTAGAAGATGTAGAATTATCTCCGTGTGTGATTGTGGGTGGTATTTAGGGATGGCAGCAGGAGCAGTTGCTGTGGTGTAAAGTGGGAATGAACCGTTATCATGCACGGATTACATCCAGAAGGCAAACATCTGGCATGCAGACATAGACAGAGAGACCAGCAGACAATCACTGAACCTGCAATAGCCAAGAGGTTGATCCGCACTGTGATCATGGAGATGATGGCTGCAGATATGATGTACATGATGTCATTAGGCGCAATAACAAGCAATGTGTATGGGCAGGATAAAACATGGGCGGTGCAATCACAGAGGTTGCAGTCAGCGTGATTGGACGTTTAGGACACATTTATCTCCATTGGAAAGAAATCAGTTGCTGCCAGTCATGTTATATAAATTGTACAAGGTATATAATCAGTTCAGCACAAAGCTGTTTTTTATGGACAGATTTCACTGTTACTTTGTTGTGTCTGAGCAGAACATTCATATTTTACACTTTACAGTCACCCGATACTCGAAAGGAGAAACATTCTACCAGGAAAAAAAAACCTCTATAAACATTCCACCTTTTATGTCCTCTCATTACGGACACTTTAAACTGAGGCAGCACTGCAATAAGAGCTAAGTTTGAAACCACAAAGTTGAATTGGACAAACTGTAAAATAGATGTAAGCAGAAGTAAATGGGCTATAATTGCATATAATACAGTAGGCCTATTCTCCTTTCAGTCAAGTAAAGACATCGTTTCGACCTGAATGATGAATGTATGAAACGTGTTGCAAACATTTTAGATTTTTCAGTTTTTCCACTGAGTGCTTTCTCTTTGTATTCCACGTATTATAATAAATAACCCTACTTGTTATCTCAATGGTAATCACTGTACTCACTACTGCAAAGTACAATCCTTGTTTTAAATCACTTTTTATTGTTTGTTATATCTGTGTTATGCCTGCATTTTATTTCTATTGTACTCTGGGTAACCTGTTAAAACATTTGTTAACAGTAGAGGATGTCCCTCATTCTCTCCCCATCATCGCAGACCTCTTGGCTAGTCCTGACACATCTAGGATATATTGTTCCCTTTTGGCTCTCTCTCGCCCTGCCTTTCACACACACACACACACATACACACACACACACACACACACACACACACACACACACACACACACA